GAAAGGCTCCAACGAAAAAGATGCAAATACCTACTTCGGTTCCCGTATACACAGAGCCTGCCACCTTCCTCAGATCCTTCGGGTGTTGTATGTGGTCCGAATTACTAAGCTGGCATAAAACTGTGTCTTTTACCGCTGGCAGTACGTTTATCGACTTGCATCTATCCTCCATGACACATCGATTTCTGCAGTGGGAGAGTATAAGACTTCCCACAAAAAGCGTAATATTTGCGATAACATGACCCACCAATTCATGTCCACCGATTTGTTCCAAAAACTTTACACGCCTGATATCTACAAAAAGAGATAGGAGAATGTTAGCCTTTATATACTACTGTAATTCTCATACCTTTCAGCATAAATCTATCAGCATTTAATCACAAGTGGAGCAATCTGATCGGCTATGCTATTTGGTACCAATTTCTTGATTGACAGATAGTCAGGTGAGCCGGCCTGATTAACTTCGTGAGGTGGTAAACAAAATAAAGTGAAATTTTGAACCTGTCTTGTTGTTAAGAGTGGAACTAGTGATAGATTCATAGAAAGACAACTAGATTATTTGTTCCCGATTAAAATTTCTGTGTGTGATATGAACTGAATCTGAGACTCTTAATCCAGCCTTACTCTGTAACTCCACTAAAGCTGAATAACAATTTAAGAATGCTGTTGCTAAATCAAGTCCACTTTGATTGAACACAAAAGTGAGGAAAAACCATGTAAGTCAAATATGGTTGAAAATATCCTTTTGTTTAAAATTTAACGGAAAAATCTGATTCAGTACGTTCTTATTTTTTTTCCATTTGCAAATGATCCCATTCCCCAACTGTACTCTCAAGAATATGTGGACATCATCGAGTTTAGCTTAGTTGCTTGTAAGAAGCTTGTCCAAATTAGTTTTGAAAACTTTCAAAACACAAAACAAAACAAAACAAAACAAAACAAAAACAGAAGTACAAAGGCAAACCAAACCAAATAAAATCGTTTTGCAGAACACAAGAGGGGGTAAGATTGTAAAGAAATTTACATTATTGACTCAGTTGATAAAACTTTATTATCTTTTATTTTTGCAGTAGTCCGACAAGGACGAAATTTTGTATCGATGTCAATTGTAAAAGTTACTGCATATGGACAGATTTGTCCATGCTCGAAAGGGAAAAGCATGAGAGTTGTAGGAAATGATAGATTATTCAAAATCTTCTTAAACTCATACGGAATCATTTCATTTTCTTCTTGTAGGCTTGCTGAAGTAAACGATGTGTTACGAGCCCTAAATAATTGATACAAGATAACTGAAGCTCTCGGTATATATCACGTAATATCGAAATTAGTTCGAAAAATTAAACTGAGAAAACAGACTACCAGGATTTATGGCATCGTTTACTCATACTAATTTTCTTCGTTAAACGCAAGAGCGTAAGAATCTAGCGGCTTTCATAACTGCCTGTAATATCCCGTTACCCTTTGATGTCAGAGAATAGAAGAATACTAAGAAAGTGTGATGTTTTTCGTAGTCCTGAAACTTTTTCTAGGACTCAAAGAGCGTTTAGTAAACACAATACATGAATGTTTATCGCTTAACTTTTCAGAAATCATATCTATAAATATGAAAGAAGCAAGAAAGCTCAAGACTAAAAGCTTGCGAAAAAGCCCCAGTAAACAATCATGTTTTTATGCAGTCAGAACCCGTAAAAACTTGTGTTTCGATCAAATTTGATTTGAAAAGACTTTTTCAATGGATTTGTAAAGGGGTTTTTTGTGTATTTTGAAATATTTTGGTCTCCTCTTCAGAAAATTTAACAGCTTTCTCGACAAATAATTTGAAAATTGATCGGGACAATTTTTTGCAGCCATACAAACACATCGAATTGGAGTTAAAGACTCCAGTCAAGGTTGAAGCAAAGTTGCTGATCGACGATTTGCATCGGAAAATTCGATAGTGTGCGATTCATTTTGGATAAATTTAATTGCTTGCGTGAGGCGTAAGCAAATTTAGAGGTAAGGAAATTTTCAAAGCCACGGGATACTATGACTAAGTGATTCCTCAGAGGTGAAAGGTTCCATTTTATCAAAGTTATAAATATGCACGTTTGTAACTTCTGTTTCTCTTTCTGATCAATTTTTTTTTTATCAAGAATCAGAATTGTTCATGAAATCTAATAAAAACATTTTGCTTCTTCCCCACTTAATTCAGTAACTCAAGACAATTATCACAACGGATTCACTGAATTGAGAAGATTAATTTACCTCAGTGTACAATATCTGAATATGTTCCTTTTAACGGTCATTGTCACAATCTTTCGTAACAGTTTCCTATTTTATGTAATGCGTGAAATTCAAGAAGATACTATAGTTTTAAATCCAAGTTTCTAAACTCCGCAAATTGTCTTGGGTAGATTTTTGTACATGATTCATCCGCCTTGAAACTTAAATTTTCGTTTTCTCGTTAATCGAGCTTTCTACGTGGCAGGTAAAATGTTTGATGCTTAATCTGTTAAGAAGCATGGTTCATTTAACTAAGCCAGATAATTTTCTCACTGTTTACTTCAGTGACATTAAGACACTTCGATAGCTCATATCACAAAGGTTTCAGTTTTAAATCCAGATCCCATTCCGATGAGATGATCGAAAGCCCTTTTTTCTGGTGTCATGAATTTCAGATTTTAACCATCACTTTTGAACGATCATTTTTCTTTTGAATGCCCGCTTACTTCAAGGAACAACTTAACAGTTTGACTATAACAAGACGGCACATTGCAATTATCATTAGCAAGAAAGGATGAAATACGTCCCTTAACTGTTGTCATTCTTTCCCGTTGCAGGAATGATAAGCCTACTCACCTTGTTTGGCAACTGTGAAGCTATTGAACCAGCCACCAAACAAAACAGACAGAGATAAAAGAGAAAGGATTTGGTAGCGAAGGTGTTTCATCTCCAAACGATCGGTGCCTTTGAAACCAGTATCACCATTCAGTCATATAACTTTTGCACTAAGGCTCTCAATCACAAAACGGTAAAATGAATTATTAAGCGTAGAAAGGGGGATTTAAAAGATTTTCTGCCCCCATGGAGTTCAGGAAAGAGTTTAATCCTTTGACCCCAAAAAGTGACCAGTATCTAATTTCTCCTCAAGGTATCACCCATGCGACACACAGTAAGGTCACGAGAATAGAGGAAATGATCACCAACTAAAGAAGTACACTCTTGATTGTTAAAGAAATGCTCCTTGTTAGCTCCTTGGGAAATTTATAGAGAACAGTATAGATAATATACATACTGTTGTTTAGGTCTAAACGGTTTAAGTTCATTTTTATGCAAATTCTGGTAAATCCGTGTTAATTAACTTCTCTGCTTCTAATAAAGTTTTCCTACCGTTCTTGTTGTTTCCGTAGTCACGTATCTCGGCTGATAACTCTAAAAGACTCTTACCCCACGGTCGTCACTGACAGAAAACTATATTTCTTTCAACCTGCTCAACTTTGCTGTGCAATAATTATGTTGTCTCAAATTGTTGAAAATACATAAATTAAATGCCATGTCAAACGCATCTTTTTAAGAAGATATTTCGGCACGGCATGAGACTGAAATTAAGAAAGGAAAAGAAGGAATTAACTGTGAACTTTAACTTCTGTCTGTCTGTATTTTTGGGCTAATCAGCGAATAGTCCTGAAGAGGTCGGCAGCCACGAAATGTGAGCCGCGAGGTCGGGGAGGATCCTGGAAACTACTATCAGCTGATTTCTGAGTCGCCGGTCGACAAGAAGTGGATCTTCTATCAAAGATGGCGGACAAATATGTTGGAAGTTTACTAAACCGCATTGCGTTGCCTGGCGATGTTATCAGTAGTGTAGCTGATTTGGAAGGAAGTCTCGAAGGGAAAAACAAAGTTAAGCTCGGTCCAGGCTTAAGAGAAGTAAATGGTGCGATCGTGGCCTACAAAGCGGGAGTTTTTAGACATCGAAACCCGTCAATCCACTTGATCGATTGCAATCAAAGAAGGGCTAGTATCTGTAAAGTATTTCTGTTCACAATTCCAAGTCTTTTTTTCTTTCTGACTGCGTTACATGGGACACTTATAACGAAAAGTTTTTGCAATTTATCGTTGCGCGAAAATTACAACACCGTGTAATATCGTACTGGGGAAAACTTTTTCCTTCAACAGTTAACTCTGCATCACCTTGCCCGGCGACGTTCTCTCATAGACTGCTCAGCAAAGAATTTGTTCTTCTAAAATGTCTTGGAAAGCACTTTCTATTTGATTGCACTGTGGGAATGAATGGGAGAGTGTGGATCAATTCATCATCAATACCCCATACGATTACTGTTGCCAATGCTGTGTCGAACTCTGAATACATGAACAACAATCAAATTGAGACAATGGTGTAACAGCTTTTGAAAGGAATACAGTCATAAGAACAGCATAAATCTTATCCTCTGAGTAATTTTCTTGAATTTATTGATGGAAAGAACAAGGAAACAAAAAACCACCGTTTTGAAAAGTGATACTGTATTTAGGATTAATCTCAAGATTTTGCTATACATATATCTCTCAGTTATTAAATGTACCATGATCAGTCAATTTAGTAGGCTATATAGTAGGGGGTGGGGGAAGGTGGATCACATGGTTCTCAGGAGAAACGGAGGGAGGATAAGTCGTCACCAACAGAGTATAAAAGGGGGACGACATATCTATTTGGTTTTAAAATATAAAATAAAATCCTTAAAAAAATCGAAAAAAATCGAATTTGGTAGTCTAAAATGTGGCGTAAACCAGCGACACCAAACGGTACCCAAAAGGTTGCTACTATGAAGTACACTGAGTTTGTCTGTATCTTAGCCCCGACAACAGGGCTAGAAGTCTTTCCACAGTGAACATAATGCATATAGCCTGTTATTTTCGTTGCTTTATATGTGCATTGACAAAGATAGCACTCTTTGTGAACCAAGGACATCCAATAAGGGGCAATGAAAGGCTGGCTGACAATACTAACTAACAGATCAGTTGTTTCCAAACAACGATACAAGAAATTGGACGGCAGATGGAGGGAAGATACTTTGTGAAGGGCAACAAGGATGAGAAAGTTCCCCAAAAATGCCATAAGCGAGAGGAGAATGTGAACTGCCGTGAAATAAATTGGTTGTTGTTATAATCCACCTGCCTAAGATGGCGACCAAACTTGGTCTTCAAATGTTTTTGTTTGCCTTTGAAATGCTGTTAAAGTTGTGGTCGGCATCATCAGTATCTTCTTTTCTTTGGGTATAGCAGAGATATTTTGCCTTCACGACAACTTCACATCCACCTTGGCTTCGATCTCACCTTTTAATAATACATGTATACTTGAGTATTTAAACTGTATCATTTACCCTATTTGAAATGCGCAAACTATCCCAAGCGTCGTTTGTGCCACAAAACACTTCGAAATTTACCTAGAGGTTGGGATGTGTAGCTTGCATTAAACAACCATCCTAAAAGGGAATCAGCTGTTCCGCGACAATAAATTCTACGAAAATTTATACTGCCGTTATACCCTGAAAGGTCTCAAGATAGATAAAAGGGTGGAAATGTTGCTCAAAAGATCATGAGTAATTCAAATATTCCTCCCACAGTACACATTTTCTGGTTCTAAGGCAGAATTTTGCTACTGAATCATGCTGTTTGTCCTAGTTATCTGTTGATCAAACTGGTAAACGACCTTTTGGATACGGCATCGTATTACAGACATCTCTGAGACCATTCTTTCAAAATAAAGGGTGAAAAATTCAGTATTTGACTAAGGAAAGCCTTCATTGAAAGCTATTGACAGATGACGAAGTGCTTGTGCGAATGTTGTGATCTCGGGACTTGTCAACATTATGATCATATACGTATGGCAGACTGAAAAACAAAAAGGTTGCAGCGCAGATGTTACTTGGTCAGGAAGCAGTTTAAAGATTTCCTTTGGATGAATCTATGGTCACCAATACCATGCTATTTTAGCCAAGGTTTTTTTTTGTGCTTTCGAAAAACTATACTAGCTTTTTTCTAGCTTATACAGTCTTGCTACAGAATAAAAATATTCAGCAATTTCGTAGGCGTAAAACATAAAGCTACAAAAAACTTTTTAGATATATTGTTTGCTTTAAAAAAAGCAATTAAGGTAAATTAATTTTTTGGTTGATTCGTTACTTGATTGCAAAAAATTACCGTGGTAACAATTAAAGTTGTTATGTGTACGACAGGTGATTGCATTCCTTTTGTCTAACCGTCGAGAAATCGCTCTAATAATGAATCGAATAACATATTAGCAGTAATCAATCTTAGTATGCATCACAGCTTTTATTGACAGCTTATCGAGTGATAAAATAACCTGTTTGAGGCGTTCAGCTTGGAAAACGAAGTGCACAGTAATATA